TGCCCCCCACCATGAAGTGACAAAAGGACAAAGAATGCCTGGTCAGTGTGGCTCAGTGACCTATGAACCAAGAAATCACGGTTCAATTACTGATCAGGGCACATGCCCGGGTTGTGGGCTCAATCCCCAGTAGGGGGGATGCAGGAGGTAGCTGATTGATATTTCTATCTCTCTCTCTCCCTTCCTCTCTGAAATTAATTTTTAAAAAAAGTATCACACACACACACACACACACACACACACACACACACACACAGACCCAAAAGGACAATGGAGGTCAAATCAGTAAAGCCATAGGTTGGTGTCTTGCAGGTAAGAAAGGCTTGATAAACTTTAGCTGATAATAAACTATCATCATTTTCATCTGTCATTGAACACTGAAAAATGATTATAATCTATTGAGTAAGGGAGATCATGATTGAGGAAAGGTTTACTGTTTAACTTGTTAGAGTTTTTGATGGTTAACGATGAGGAGTATCGGCTGGATTTCCAACAAACCTTGTCACAGCTTACACATCAAAGTTAAACTAAGAATGGCCACTGTAGAATTGTGGCCACTCCATCTTTGCTTTCTTGTGAACGTGGCCTCACACTCCAAAATGTGATGGTATAACCTCTTAGAAGGCGGTATAGCAAGCATCTCAAACTCTCGGCCCACAACTAATATTTTTGCTGCCCAGGCAATATAGCAATATGTAAAAAATGTGTTTTTTTTTAAAAAAAATGTATATTTTTATTGATTTCAGAGAGGAAGGTAGAGGGAGAGAGAGATAGAAACATCAATGATGAGAGATAATCATGGATCAGCTGCCTCCTGCACGCCCCCTACTGGGGATCGAGCCCGAAACCCAGGCATATGCCCTTGACCGGAATCAAAACCGAGACCCTTCAGTTCGCAGGCTGACGCTCTATCCACTAAGCCAAGCCGGCTAGGGCTGTAAGAAACGTTTTAATAAAAATTTCGTAACTTAATTTTGACAATATCCTGGTATACATAATGGTATACATAATTATTAATAGCGAACTACAACATTCGCTAATGACTGATTACTATAATCGTGTTGCATTCATTTCCCTTACGCACCTTATGCGCAGGTGCACCATTTCTCTCCACTAATACTAGCAGTGGATATTTTAGCAGCCGATTGCCACGTCACTAGTCTTGTACTGACTTGTTTGGTGTGCACAACAGGAAATATTTCGCTTTCGGAGAACAAGAAAAATAGGTTTATTTGCATTACGCTTTTTAATTTGTGCAGTTATTCAGTGTCTGGTAAGTTAATGTTCAAGAAAAAATATTAATTTTTATTAACATGTTCTATAATTTTATGTTAACGACTACTCATTTGTTTCAGCTCTTTGTATTCAGCATGTCTCTATCGAAATAAACCTATGTTTCTATGAAAATTGAAGCTTTTGTTTTTTTGCGGCCCACATAAACTTAAACTTCGATTATTTGGCCCGTGTGAGCCTTTGAGTTTGACATGTTTGTGGTACAGGCCCTGTTCTCCCTTGCAGGAACTCTCCTGCTTCCTTCTGACTTACAAGGCCAGCCCTATGGGCTGTGCCCGCGCCTGCTTGCCCTTCGTGTCTGCATCCAGGGGTTGGTGGCAAGAGAAGATGACCTTTTGTTTTATTTTATTTTATTATTTTAAAAAATATGTATTTTGATTTCAGAGAGGAAGGGAGAGAGAGAGAGAGAAACATCAATGATGAGAGAGAATAATTGATCGGCTGCCTCCTACATGCCCCCTACTGGTGATTGAGCCCGCAACTCTGGGCATATGCCCTGCCCGGGAATCAAACCATGACCTCCTGGTTCATAGGTCGATACTCAACCACGGAGCCACACCAGTGGGGCAGAAGATGGTCTTTTAATGGGTGTGGTTAGCCTAAATGTCCCACAGTGCCATTTGGCCTGTATAGACCTGCTGTTGTCCAACAGAAGAGGGGCATTCATCTAGGGGAGTAGACAAGAACACAGATGAGCCGGGTGCCCAGTCGAATCTTGGCTTGGCTGTTTGTATTTATGTGACTTTGGTCACAGTTCCTTTCCCTCTTGGTAGAAGGTGGTTATAACACTACTTATCTCATAGAGCTACTGTGAGAACTAAATGACTTAATGGGTGTGAAACCTTGAGAATAGTGCCACGTAGGGTTTGCTGTTATGACTATGGCCCATGAGGGCATCCTGGGCTATTCCTGGATGTGGCCTGGTGTTGACCTCTGTCTGGTGGTCCCAGACTTTGTACATTCACACCAAGATGCGTAAGCCATGAGGCAGTGTTGCTGGACCAAGCCAGGTGTCATTGGATCTGGAACAGGCATCCTCTGCAGTGATTAAAGTTGTCCTGGGCCCAGGGTCACCAGAGATGTGTCTCCCACGCACTAACAGAGAGGGGACTTTTCTGAAGCTATACCTTTGACTTCCTGGTAAGCCTCAAACAACATTGTGGGGGAGGCCAGGCCCCCTCAGGAGCACCCTGGGACCCCACATCAGTGACCCAGCTCAGGTTGAGGCTGGTGCCACACAGCCTGGGAGGCTGAGGCAGACAGTGGGCTCAAGGCAAGTAAGGTGCCAGGAGCCTAAAATCAAAAAACAGAATGGACAGTTGGATTCTTCCTGATTTAGATTGGTGGACTTACTCTGGGGAAGCTCTTTAATAAATGCTGGCAACAGGGAGTTCTGGGAAATCCTCATTTCTGCAAATTGGAAATGGAGCATGACAAGCCGGACCTCTCTGCTGGCTGCGGAGGGAGAGGAGTGGCTAGGGCCTTTACCACTTTTCTGCTCCTACTCACCCTTTCCCACACCAGGGGAGGAAGGTGGCTGCCGATTTTGCTGTATTATAACCACATGGCCCTCGTGAGGAGGGGTAGGCAGATTCATCAGACGCCTTCACCTTGCTTACAGCTGCTCTTAGCATTTTACTCCAGACTCTGATCTCCACCTTGTGGGATTTTATGAGAATGGTGAATGATGAATACTGATCAGGATATTGGAAATGATCTCAGGAGGCCACTCTTATTATTCTACAGGGGCAGAAACATTATTCTACAGGCCCAAAGAGGAGATGCACAAACCCATAGGGAATTAGGATACATCAGGAAGAGAGCAAATGTGAGTAAGGAGACACAAGGGATTGTCCTTTTCTTAAAGGATTAAACACTCCTTGCTGTTTCTCTGGAAATCCTAGGCTGTGTTTGTTTAAAAGGAAATCCAAGAAGACCTGACTCAAAAGGCTGGAAACTGTAATAGGCTATAATATTAATTAGGACTTTAGGAAAGCTAATAAAAATGTATGCTTCTTTGTCAGACTTGGGTAAGGGTGAAGGGCAAGTGGGCACTGACCTGTGTTACCATCCGGAATAGCAGTGGTGGTCGTCATCAGCCAAGCTTTACCTTTGGGAATCCTGGAGTTTCAGAGCTGGGAGGAGCAGGGTTCCATCTGGTCCCTCAGTTTGCTGACAGGACTGGGAAGCCCGCCCTCTTCACACCTTGAGGGCACAGCTGGGGCCTGGTCCAACGTTCCTGATTCTCTAGCCCCACCCTCCATGGCCAGCAGCCTCCCATGTCCTGTACACTGTTGCTGAGAACAGGGATATTGTGGAAACCTGTGTGCCTTCTTGGATGGATTTCTATCCAATCTTTTCCTAGTAGGAGAAAACGGAATATTTATGGCCAAAGCAGATGGGTGCTTCCAAGAAGGAAACTGTGTGAGAAGGACTCCTGATGCTTCTCCTGGTTTTAAATCTGGGAAAAGTTCATGTAAATTTATGTTGGAAACAAGATCAATGAAATAAATATGGAAAGTTGCCTCTGGGGGGAAGAGAGGTTGCATAACTACCTATGTAGAGTCTCCACTGTGCATCAGGCATTGTGCTAGGCTCCAGGGATGCAGGGAGCAGAGAGACGTGGCTCTTCTTGCCCTGGGTGCTTATATTTGGACACTATTAAATATATATTTCCAAATTGTGGATGGTTTTGTGAAGAGAAAGGTCTGAGTTCTTAGAATAATGGGAGACCTGAGTATTTTATTGGGAGAAGGCCTCCATGGAGAGAGGTTTCAAGGACTGGTAAGAAGCATGAGGTAAGGAGCGTAGGGCCCTTGTGAACAGGCTCCAGGGCAGGAAATATGAATTGGGTGAGTTGGGGACTGAACTGAGGATAAAGTCTGCACAGGAGTGAAGAGACATCCAATGAGATTAGAAAGTCGGGGGAGGCCAGACCCTATGCAGTGGTTCTCAATCTTCTGGCCCTTAAATATAGTTCCTCATGTTGTGACCCAACCATGAAATTATTTTCATTGCTACTTCATAGCTGTAATGTTGCTACTGTTATGAATCGTAATGTAAATATCTGATATGCAGGATGGTCTTAGGCGACCCCTGTGAAAGGGTCATTTGACCGCCAAAGGGGTCGCGACCCACAGGTTGAGAACCTCTGCTATAGGGCCTAGGCAGGGTTTCCAAGGAGTTTGGTTCTAATGGTAAGCCATTGAAAGATTTTAAGCAGGGGAACAATAGCCAAGTCTGCTGGGGGTGGAAAGTGGATGGATGAGATAAAAGTAGAATTGGGGATTGTGTAAGTCCAGGCAAGAGGTGACGGCTGCTTGGCCTACATTGATAGGATTGGCATGGCTGGCCTTGTGAGGTGTTTGTGGGGAAACAAGAAATGAGGGTCAGTAAAGAACTCCGGTTCAAGGGATGTCTTAGACATTAACACTCTATCTTTCTGAAAAGAATTCTGCTTTTCCCTAACAGGCCTTTCCTCCAGAAATAAAATTAAACCTATTTTTCTAATTTCAATTTTTAGTTCAGTTTCTTTTAAAATATGAAGTCCTAAAAAATAGACTCTGGTTAAATGGTCTTACATAAATAACCTTCTGTTTATGACAGATTTTATTCTTTTGAAGGGCTGAGTGATGTTCTATGACATAGATGCATACCGTACTTTATTTAACTTATAGGTGTCTATCCTTGTTTTCCCCTTTCTGCAGGTTGACCAGTATCTCTATCACATGCGCCTTTCTGATGAGACCCTTCTGGAGATCTCTAAGCGGTTTCGCAAGGAGATGGAGAAAGGGCTTGGAGCTACCACCCACCCCACTGCTTCAGTGAAAATGCTGCCCACCTTCGTGAGGTCTACTCCAGACGGGACAGGTACTGCCCTGTGGGGCTGCGTGGTGGAGGGCATGGCTCTGGCTGCTCCATTGCTGGTGGGATATTTGGATGGCTTTGCTCAGGGACCTAAAGAACTGTGTATCAGTGAAGGTTCTTTGGTTTGAGGCCTCAGAAATCAACACTGGCTAATTTAAGCATACAGGGAATTTTTTATTTTTTTAAATATATTTTATTGAATTTTTACAGAGAGGAAGGGAGAGGGATAGAGAGTTAGAAACATCGATGAGAGAGAAACATCGATCAGCTGCCTCCTGCACAATCCCCACTGAGTATGTGCCCGCTGCCAAGGCACATGCCCCCGGCCGGAATCGACCCTGGGACCTCTGAGTCCTCAGGCCGATGCTTTATCCACTGAGCCAAACCGGTCAGGGCAAGCATACAGGGAATTTTAACGAAGTCTGTGGGACGGGTTAGTCACGAAGACTGGGAAAGCAGGCAGCCTTGGCAGTTAAGGCAGAAGTATATCCTTGTCAGCCCATCCGGGGCCTCTCTGTCAGGCATTTGTTTCTCATTCGTGTGCTGAGAAAGGCTGCTTGGCTCAGTTTGTGATTTTATGTTCCTGCTGAGATTCTACTCAACGATGGTCACGAACAACAAACGTGCCTAAGATGGTCATGGCCATGGGCCACGCTATCTCTGGTCCACCTGACTGGCACATACCAAAGTCTTGCTGGAGAAACAGCATGGTACAGATTGTCCTAGATTGTTCTTGAACTCCATGAAAATAGAGTATTACAAGTCTGAATAAAGCTAGGAGAATGTGAAGAGCCACAGTGCATATCAAGGTATTAAAGGCTCTGAACTTGTGCAATAAGAATCTGTCAAGCTTTGTTTAAGCCCCTTATTTGGATACAGAATTCCTGTTTCATGGTGCAGCACCCAGCAGATCGAATCAAACTGGACAAAAGGGCCATGGTGGATTGAAATTGCAACGTGGGCTGGGGCTGGATCACAGAAAGCCTTGCATGCCTGCCTAAGACATTGAGTCTTTCCTCAGTCTGCACTGGGGAGTAGCTGAAAGGTTTTGAGGGATGGGAGAACTGTCCTGGTGTAGCAGGTAGCATCAGCAGTACATGCAGAGTGTGGGAGGGGTGAAGCAGCCGGTAGAGCACAGGACAGTGGCCCAGGTGGGATATGGCGGGCAGGGCTCAGAGAGGATTGAAAGTGATGCCAGGATGTTGGGCCCCGCTATCTGGGGATGGATGGCAGCATCCTCAGAGAAGAGAACAGAGCTAAGTTGTGTCACACAGATTGTTTCATTTAACCTCCATTTTAGAGATGAGGTATCTGTGGGGCCATGAAGGGTGAAGGGTGTGGGACAGCTACCCACTTCTAGAGGGTGGGAAAAAGAGCCCAAGGAGCAGCTGCCAGGGCAGTGGGAGAACCAGGAAGTCTGAATACTTGAGGGAGAAGAGAGCCAAGAAGCCGGTCACTAGTGAGGCATTTGCAGAGAAGGCCTGAGGATGGGGGTGGGGAAGGGCGTGGGACAGGCCACGTGCCTTCGGTATTTCCATCACACCCGTGTCCTTGAGGCTTATGTGCCTGAGAACCTCTAAAGGACCTAGTTTGTCTAACAAGACTTTGTACCTTTCTGTGATTACTAAAATAAGTATGTGTTTGCTAAGGCCTTGGGCCCAGCCTGGACCTGAGGGTGTGACCTTGTTCAGGACTGTTCTGTGTGTGTCTGAGCCCTTCAAAGAGCTCCTTGAGTGAGGGCCTCCCCTAGTTCTTGAGTATCCCTCATAGGCCCTCGATATTGGCACGTTTTTGGTACCTGCCGCTCCCTCTGACTGGCGGCCACACCTGTTTCTATTGTTTCTGTTTGACATTCTGATAAATTTACCTTCTTAGGACCAGAAACCTTGTCTTTATTTCTGGCATTAGCACTAAACCAGTACCCAGAATATTTACTAAATCTATAGCATGGGTAAGAGCTTTTCTGAACTCCTACGTGCATTAACTCATTTACTTTTCATTAGACCCTACAAGGAAGTAGGTACCAGTTTTATCTATAATTTTTTCAGGTGAGGAATTTGAAGCTTCGATGATCAAATAACTCGCCTAAGGCCACAGAGCTAATGAGGGGCTGAGTCAGGGTTCAAACTCATCTATGCCACAGGTCAGGCATCAAGGCTGGACGGATCCATCCTGTATGTGAGCACGAGCAGAGAGCACAGCACATGCTCAGCTGAGATTTTTTTAAAATGTATTTTTATTGATTTCAGAGAGGAAGGGAGAGGGAGAGAGAGAGAGGAACATCAGTGATGAGAGAGAATCACCAACTGGCTTCCCCCTGCACGCCCCACACTGGGAATTGAGCCCGAAACCTGGGCATGTGCTCTGACCATGAGTTGAACCATGACTTCCTGGTTCATAGATTGATGCTCAACCACTGAGCCACCCCGGCAGGCACAGCTGAGGTTTTTTGAAATCAGGTTGGGTTTGGATGCCTGGCCTGTAGTACAGGCAGCTGAATATGTTTGCTGGAGAGCACTAGGTATGGGACAGGCTCTTTTTCTTCTCAGTGCTTTCCTGAGATTGTAGGCACAGAGATGTCCCTCTGTCTCCTGAAGTTTGCACTGATTGGTCATTGGTCTCCTTCCTTGACCTCAGGCAGAGTCCTGGGAGCCCATCTGTATTTGGCCTCTGTGAATGTGAGTTGTCTGGACTAAGGACGGGACCCAGAGGCTGACTCCTGCAGCCTTCTGGGGGTGAAGGGTCAGGGGCAGGACTTGGCTGCCTCACCTCCTTTCCATGCAGGAAAAGTAGGACTTGACATGACTTTTATGAAATCCAGAATGCCTATTTATTTATTTATTTATTTATTTATTTATTTATTCATTCATTCATTCATTCATTCATTCATTCATTCATTTAAATCTTTATTGTTTTGTTTTTTTAAAAATAATTCTTTATTGTTGAAAGCATTACATACATCTCCCTTTTTTCCCCATTGACCACCTCCAGCCTGCCCCCACCCCAGGCCTTCACTACCCTATTTTCTGTGAAGGGTGCCTCTTTATAATCGCAAATTCTACAGTGTAAATGGAGATGATGGTGTGTTGGAATACTATGTATTGATTTTGATTCTCTAAGCAAAGCAAGTGCCCTTTTAAAAATGGTAGGAAACCCAGCCTCCAGCCCCTTGGTTTTTCACTTGATGAAGGGTCCATGGCCGAGCTTCTCACCCCAGCTCTCTGGGACTCAGCCTTTTCTCCTTTGTAAAGTGAGAGGTGGATCCAGCAGACACAATCTCTTCTGCGCATGTACTAGAATTAGCGTGTTTGTGTATTTATGCACAAAGTTGCTTGAAAGAGTGTAAAGAGGGAAACTCCCGAATGCCCACCAGTTGAGTACTGGCCAATTAATGCAGAAAACAGCCCTCTGCAACCCATCCTAAAGCACGAGATAGATTTACTGTCTCTTATCTGTAAAGTCATGTATGTATGTGCATGTGCACAGGTGTATGAAGTTTCAAGCACATGTCCTGAAATATCGATACTGATTATCCTGGGATGTGAGGTTAGCAATAACTAATTAAGTTGAAAATGTGTGTATATGACAACTCAGCAATTCCACTTCCAACTATACCTTGAGCAAACTCCCATATGAACCCAAGGAGACACGTCCACGAATGCTCATAGCAATGATGCTTATAATGACAGCATTTTGGGAAAGTTTACAGAATATCCATGTGTTGCAGTCTATATAGCACCGTACATAAATGAGCATATATAAAATGGGTACATCTAAAAAACAATGAGTGACACATTGTAGAAGAATGTGAACCTCATAGTAGTTGAATGTCAATGAAGAAGAAAAAAATCCCCCAGAGCAATGCTATCCATTGCTTATGGACATGCACACATAAGATTATTTAAACTGGGAAATGTCCACCAGATACATGATAGGGGCTGCCTCTGGAGAGCAATGGAACTGCGGAGGGCAGCATGAGACTATGTAATTGAAAGTGGTCCATATCAAGGTTTTCAGCCTTATGTTTTGTTAGTTGGGGCTGTGAGTTATGAAATGACAGCAAGGGCCAGAGACACTTCAATAGATAAAACCTACCAAACATGAAAATTCTGAAGAGCTCTCAAAGACCAAATAAAGTAGAAGTGCCTCTAGGACCATAACTGGGGCCAGAGCGGGATTTTCCCTATATACTCCATTAACAAAACATCTTCATTCATCTGTTTTATAGATTGGGGTCCTGTATTTTTAAAAATGAAAATTCTTGCCTGGCCAGCATGGCTCAGTGGTTGAGCATTGACCTATGAACCAGGAGGTCAGGGTTCGATTCCCGGTCAGAGCACATGCCCAGGTTGTGGGTTTGATCCCCGGTGTGGAGTGTGCAGGAGGCAGCCAATCAATGATTCTCTCTCATCATTAATGTTTCTATCTCTCTCTCCCTTCCTCTCTGAAATAAATGAAAATATTTAAAAACAGAAAAGAAAATTCTCTTTTGTTTATGGTTGGCCCAGGAAAGTGCTGAGAGGAGCAGAGCGTGTGGAACTGTTGCCTTTCTACCCCCTGGATGTAGCCACACAGCCCAGGGGGTCTTGCTGGGACATCTGTGTCCAGAGCCTGGGCCTCAGTCTGAGCTATGCTGCTGTTATCGGTGATTCTATCCCTCGAAGGCCAGAGGCCTTTGCTCAAGTGGTGTCTACCCCACACAGGCTTACTCAGAACCTCTCTCAGCCCATTCCTTTCAAGGATTTCTTTTTAAGTCTGGGGAATGAAACCTCAGATCTAAATCTCTGATCTAGAGGGGCCTAATCTTTAAATCAGTGGCTCTCTAAATTTTCTGAATTACATACTCACAGCCAGAAACATGTAGGTATAAATATTGGTACACATTTCTGGGACCAATGTTTATTCTTGAATGTGATGCAGCCAGATCTCTTGCCTTCTATTCTTTAAAAAGTTTCTGATTACGACCCACGACATTGTTTTCAGCTTGCAGTTGGAAGGCCACT